CTGCTGAAGGCAGACATGCTCTCACAAGGACACCAGATGCTACTGCTGTCTTCAGTTTACTCAAGTGATGAACAGGCATGTGCCTGGGGCTGGGAAGCGGCCCAAGATGGGGAATGCAATGGGAGCCTAGAGGGAGCACTAAGCTCACATGAGGACAAGACTACCAGAGGCAATATAGATTGGCTTTCAATCATGCAGCTTGCTCCAAAAAGAGAGGAAATAGAGAAGGACAGGCCTGAGCAACGTATGGTTGAACACTTCAAGGACTGATTGCACTCCTCACAAATCCCAGCAGCCTCCAGGTCAAAGCTACAGACTCCAGGAGCTATGTGGCTGCCTTGAATGTATGGAAATAATTCAATTTGTCTTTATTGACCACCTTTCTTCGAGGGATAAGCAAGTCAGGGAGATGTCATGTTCCGCAGCACAAGAGTAATGACAGAGAGAAATGACCCTGAGAAAGCCCACCCTCCTTGAGCACAAACTATAACCATTAGCCTGTCTGACCCAAACCCTTCCCACCAGGGCCTTGTCCATTCTACCTTATTGAGCAAAATCTGTGCAACTCTTCCTACTGCCTTCAAATCCATTGGCTTGAAGAATGGACTTACAGCTCAAATGAGTTCTTCTTACAAGCCAGCTCAGCACTAATTCCCTGAGGAGAAGACTTTGCCTCTGTGGGTCACGCCACATCATTTCTCTGCTGTTAACACCTTGGCTGCATGCACAGCCATTGCTCCATGAAGTCTTCATCCCTTCTAAATCCTCTCCCAAACTCTCCCTTTCCATCCATGGCTTCAATCTGCAAGTCTGCTGTCTGCTCTCCCATCCACTTACACTAACTTGCGCTAAACTCATTTAGTAATTAAATGCTCAACATTGGGACATGACTGACTTGACTGAGTGCCCTTCACCACGTTAAGGTTTCCCATTAGCAGCAGCTGCCTTTGCTGTATTTCTGGGCTCTCTCACCTGTGAGACTGTGATGCCGCATTTCTTGGCTAGCTCTTCTTTGGCTTCCTCACTGGGGTAAGGGTTGCTGAGATGGGAATAGAAATATTCATTCAGGATTTCCGTAGCCTGCTTGTTGAAGTTTCGTCTCTTCCGCCTTAGCATGAAGAAAGAGGGGAAAACAGAAGGAAAAGGAAAGGGAATCAGTGCCAGGGATCCAGAAATAGGAATGCAATTTTAGATACTCTGATTTTCCCCACTTCCCTCCCTCCTTCCCCTGCTCCTGGGAGCATGAGGTGCAATAGACTCATGGCCAGGAAGCTGCTCATCTGCACCTTGCTGGCAACTCCTCTCTCAGCACCTTCCAAAGCAAGTTAAGTCTCCTTCTCAAATTATCACTGCATCCTCCAGCTCACAGAAGAGTCTTAAAATTGGCACTCAGCTCCTCCACTTGGGAAGGTGACTCCTGACACCTGGCTGCCCTGGCCAAAGACATCTCTGCTACTCTCTGCAAAGCTCTGTGCTGAGAAAGCAGCGATGGATGTTATCCTTGAGGAAATTTGTTCCATTTACAGCTGGGCGCTATCTGCCTGCTACTTCTTCTCTCATACCCCAGTGTAGCTGCCTCTCCTCCCCATCCCAAGCCACAGCCTGCACGTAACCAGCTTGGGGAGTTAAATACATCTACAGCACCCTGAAAATCTGGGACAATGGAAACAGAAGGAAAAGAATAGGAACCTAGAGGGGACAGGACGGGCTGGAGGATTAGCTTTCATCCCCAACTGAAGTGCACATTTTTACCACAGAGGTTTGCTGGAATATGCCACAGAATTTCCTTCTGCCAGAGCAAAGCCAGCAATGTGCAATTCTCAAGGTACAGCTGGAAGCCTCCCCGAGACAGAGGCTGGATGTCTTGAATTGCTGTGCCCTCCCTTGCTGAGCCACACACAACTAATGGGTAAGGAAGGTAAATAGCCTCTGCAGCTCAAGACCAGGAGACAGTGCCCTTCAGATGGACTTGGATTCACTCCAGAACCTCAAAATGCCTCTCCCAGGCCTGAACAATACTGCATGTTGGGTGGGGAGAAAGGTTTGAGGGGGTGAACTCACCGTGCGTCCAGAAATCGGGAGCGCAAGATCATGACGGCTTCACACGTGCTTTGCTTCAACTGCATCTGGATGGAGCTGAACTTGCGGTGGATGATGCTCACCATCCGCTCTATCTCCTTTGGCGAGATAGGTCGGGTCCGGCTCTGCTCACGCAGCAGGTTCATCACGTGGGTGGTGAATTCGTTGCATGCCTGGGATGGCAAGAAAAGCAAAAGAAACCCCAGGATCGGAAGGTCATTCGATGGCGTCAAGGACAGTACAGAGGCAATGCTGCTAAGGAAGGAGATGCACGCAGAGGCTTCAATGGCTGGGTTTTTTTAGGGCAGACCCAGAGCAAGGGTGTGCTGGTTCTTGGGGGAGAGATAAATTTCTCTAGTCTGCCAAGCAGAGGGCCTGAGAGACTCCCAACAAACAGAGAGAGAAAGGCAGGAGCCAATTTCTTTGCTCTCAGGGATCATGGATGGAGCTGGGGCAGGTGAAGCCCTAAGGACTCATGTGAAGCATGAAGAAGTCCCAGCCCTTACACTGTTTTTCTGGATGGGACTGGAGGAGCTATAGATGTATCTGAAGAGGACCATAAACCTTTTGACCCTCTGTCCCTCCTCCCACTGCCCCAGCTGGACCCCAGCACGACGTGTCCTGCAGAGCCCCTTGTGCTTCACAGGAGCAGCTCCCAGAGAGACACGGCCCTGCTCCGTGCTCTTAGCACATCAGATAAGAAGTAAATAACAACAATAATTAAAGCCTGAGTGAGGCAGAAGCCCTGACAAGTAAGGCTAAGCAGGTAATAATCCCAATTAGTTTGCTGCTGGCACAGCACCGCCTGGCTGCTCCTGCTGTCCCCCATGCTGTGCTGTGAGGACAGGGCAGTGAGAGGAGTCAGGGGGGACAAGGGAGGGATTTTGAGGCCAGATGAAGGCCACTTCATTGCCCTCTCCTCCACCCCCACAAGCACCTTGCAGGACAAGGGAGGGATTTTGAGGCCAGATGAAGGCCACTTCATTGCCCTCTCCTCCACCCCCACAAGCACCTTGCAGGCATGACAGGATCCTCCAATTCCCAGAACCAGTCTGGGATCCAAGCCCCAAAAACCAGGTTGAGAGCAGCACTCAGACCCTGATGGCTCGAGAAGCCTTTGGTGCTCCTGGGACACAGGCAGCTGCTCTGGGGACAGTGCCCCCAGTTGCCAGCCCATGATGGGGAAAAAGGGGCTAGCAGGGGAAAGAAACACTGATTTGGTGGACTGGCGACATGGGCTTGACTTACCATCTCCCATCCCACCCTTCCAAGCTGAATCCCCACCTACAGCTCAGACCCAACAAGGAGACATCCTCGAGGTCAGCAGAGTTCCTCCAGTTGCCCATCACCAGCTTCAGCTGACAGCTCTCAACTCCCAGGGTGAGTGCTGGCTACGAGAGCTCTCAGCTGGGCGCCTCCTTGCTCCCAGATGCCCAAGCAATTTCAGCTCACCTCCTCTTGGCACGAAATAAAGAGCATTGCAGGCAAAATTGCAGGCGAGCGCCGTGCTGTCACAGCAGCAGTCAAACGCCATGTGAAGCCAGGCACTGAGCTCCCCCAGCCACCAACAAGGGGACTGGAGAGAGGGGGGTGGAGGTTGAGAAACCCTGAACCCTAGTTTTGTAGGACTGCAGGTGACGATATTGGAGATGTGGCCCGGCACAGCCATTTTGCAAAGCAACTCGGTGGCAAAACCAACCCCGTCAGTGGGTTGTGAGAAGGAAAGATGTGGTGGCCCACCTCACACCACGGGGCTGGGGTAAAGGCTTCTCTCACCTGGGTGTCCCTTTGGGGAGCAAGAACGTTGCAGAAACAAAACCAGAAAAGCAAACAAACAAAACCCCCACAGAAGGGGTTTTCTTCCCTGAAGTCTGTCCCTGGCTGTGCCCTTGGAGAAGGGTCCTTGCTGGCTCTGCCCTTCATGGGTCTCTCCTTGGGCTTGGGTGGCAGAGGACACGGGGTCTCTCTCCCCCTCTTCAGCCTGGGAGCTGAAAGATGAGCCCTGACGTGCTCTCCACTCCTACCCACGTGAGATGGCTGAGGCTCCCTCATGCCGCATCACCCCGCATCCGTGCCTCAAGGGAGTGACAGCAACGGCTGAGGACAGGCACCAAAGCACATCCTTCCAACTTGCCCCTGCCTGCTCCCTGCGCCCTGCCACGCTTCCTCCTCTAACGCTCTGCCAAAACACCTTTCATGGTGTCACCATGCTCGGCTTCTGCAACACCAGAGCCCTGCCTGGCCACCCTGACTCCAGCTCCAACCCAGGGGCACCCATCTAAGTTAGCTCCACACTTCCCCCGGGTGTAGGTCTGAAGATGCTGCCCAGCAGCCTCGGCTTGGCCAACGTGGCACCTGAAGGGACGAGACATCCCCCAGCCCCACCACGCATCCAGTTAGCTGGGTAAAATGGGGGCCGGGCTGGCTCACCCGTACAGACCCCGGCACTGGCAGCTGCTCACAGCCCTGACACATCGGCAGAGATGGCGTTAAATCAGAGCCCTGAAACCCCACCCAGCCCCTGGCCGCAGAGCCCATCCTGCACCCAAAAAGGAGGGATGCTTTCTTGCTCGCACTCCATAAACCACAACCTCGGGATAGAAACCACATTCATCGCAAGGGCAAGCCACGCGGCAGTGAAGAGAGTCTGCAAAACATCTGGAAGCGTTTGAAAGAAACCGGTTTTGAGCATTGGCCTGCGAAGCTTTTCACGCAATTGTCAGTGTTACCAATAGCTGCATTCATGACTCAAATACGAAAAAGGACACTTTTTTTTTTTTCTGGAAAAAGAACTTTTCAAGCAGAAAAAATATTCAAGCAAGATTTTGATTCAAGCCTTGCTTGGAAAACTGCCTGCACCGAGGCCAGCACCTTGAAGAGGACTCCCCCTTCATAGGGCCAATTTTTGGAAAGATATTAGGGGAGGAGTGAAAAGTGAAAATCAAAGGGGCAACCCATGCCAAGCCTATTCTCGCGCCACATCCCAGCGCAAAAACCCAGCCCTCTCAACCCTAAAAAAGCACATTTTCACTCCAATACCAAGCAACAGCTTGCATTTGCCCATACGCTCCTAACAATAGATGTCAGTAGTGATCCAGGCTGTGCACATCCACGCTGCGCACATCCATGCTGCAGTGCCGGCACCGGACGGCGGCTCTCCCGGCCGCTCCGGCTCCTGCTCCCACCATCCCCGATGACCACCCCTGGGCAGCCCTGCCCTCCGCCGTGAAGGAGCCTGTTACCTGCTCGTACTTCTCCAGCTCTGTGTGGTAGATCTGCCGGATCTGGGAGAGTTTGGCTCTGTAGTCAGAATGCTCCACCGAGTTGTCAGAGCCGGCTCCTCCCGATGCGGCGGCAGCGGCAGCAGCAGCAGCTGAGCCACCTCCTTTTTCAGGGCCCGCTACCCCCTCGGCCAGGAGCATGTTGTCTAACCGCATCAGCTGGGGGTCCGTGGGCTCCTCTTCCTGCGCTCCCCGGATGCTCAGCACTGCAGGAGACACAAAGGGGAGAGGAAAGGCTGAGTCGCACCCAGGGCTTAACTCAGGGAAGGGGATGCTCATCCAAAAGGGGATGCTCATCCCAGGTTGGACCAGCGGGGCTCAGTCCCCATCAACGGGACTTTTCTTCCTTTCCCAAGGGTACCCCAACAGGCAGTCTGCATCCCAGTGCTCTGAGTGCAAGTGCAGCGCCTCGGCTCTCCAGCCCAGCAGCAGTAATGGGGGCACTCCAGCTCCCTGCTCCCCTCCCTGCCTCTTGCTCTCCTTCCGGCAGGGAAGAAGTAGGGCAGAACCAGCAGAGAGCTCACTGCAGAGGTAACCCAGAAAACCACACTTTGCGTTCAAGTACGCAGCGGAACTGCTAGCAACACCAACCAAAAAACCAATAAATGTACCCATTCTTGCTGCCAGAAGTGATAGGGACCGTATCCCAATTCAAGTATGGGATGGGAAGTCAGGAGTCTCTAGCCCAGACCTCAGCTCACCCAGGGGCCCTCTCATATCACCTAACATGTCATTTTACAACCTGATCCTGCACCGTTTGCATCAGCCATCAACCCCAGATGGCAGAGGAAGAAGCAGAGAGCCCACAGCTGACTGTGCCTCAGTTTCCCCATCTTTAAATACAGATGGAGAGGGCTTGCAAGGCCGTGTTTTTAGCCACCCAGTGGAAAAAGAAGCAAAAAATGTGCAAAATACATTTTATTCTTCGGAAAACACCCTTTTTTTTAGAATCTGGTCATTCCAGTGAACATTAAACCGTGCTAAGAAAAGGGGTGACAATAAATCAATCTTCCTGGAGTACTTGCCAAGGAGAGAATTTTCCCCCCCTCTTTGTACTCCCCGCCTCAATTATTGCTTTCAGTAAAAGTCATCCTCCTGCGAGGGCTTTCCTGGAAAAACCACATGGAAGCATCCCGACCGCTCTGGGCCAGCTTGGCAAAGGGACACATCCCAGGTCTGAAGGATGGAAGTGCCCTACGTGCCCCTCCATGGTCTGTGTTTGAACACAGAAGTGTAACCCGAAATTTCCGCACGCACACACCAGGTGTGCGCAGATGCAAAATAAGTAAAATAAATAAAATAAATCCTTGATGAGTGAACAAAAATGGCATTTCCTAAGAGAAACGAATTGTATTTCTCTATCTCATCTGGCACAGGAGCTCAAAGCACTTTGTAAACACACACACACCCCGTGCACACACTCATGCACATCCAGAGCTGGGTAATGTTGTGTGGATTTTCATAAAGCCATGCCCACTTACACCCAAGATGAATTTGACCCCCCGAATCTGCAGCGCAAACAAGAGCGAATTATTTCCCCCATCATTTAAAAAAAAAAAAAAAAGTCTAAAATCAGTTGGCAATAAGAAGTAAAACCTAAGCCACTAAAAAACCCGGGCAAACACTGAGTATGGTCTTCCTCACTCTGAAATAAGTTAAAGATATAGCTATTATCAGTATAAAATGGAAGTAAAAGACCCTGTTGAGAGGTTTGGCTAACACTAAAAAAAGCTCTTTTTTAAGCCTCAAACTCTACTGAAATAATTATTTTCAGGACTAGCATTTATTGGCATTTTTGAGATCAAAACATTCGCTGTCAACAAAGGTGGGAAGGTCAGGGGGAAAGAAAAGATAGAAAAAAGCCCAACAACAGTAAATTTGCCAATAAGATGAGCTAATAATTCCACGCTAGGGAGGATCATTTCTATACGGAGGGATGGGGGCATGGTGCCAAATTTGGAGCCGGGTGCCAATTTCCGAGCCCCGAGGAGCCAGGTCCAGCATCCCCCTCCACCGTGGGAGGCTTCCCATGGCACCACCGGCACCCAACCACATGCTTCGCCAATGAATAAATCCAAAGGGAGAGGTCAGATTTCATCAAGAAAATGGTTTGGGGTCTGCAGTCCATAAACTGAAACAAGAGGTAAAGGTAGCCAAAATCCTTAAAAAGAGAAGAGGAAAGGTGACAGACTACAAAGGAGAGATAAACTTGCTATGAAAAAAAAAAAGAGAATAAACTCCTATTCTTCCAGGACAAAAAACCAAAACTCACTACATTAAAGCACATCAAAAGCCCAAATACAAATGGAAAGCAACACAGGTTAAAAAAAAAAAATTAATCCCCCCCAAATAAACAAATCAAAAGCGGAGTGGCCAAAACAGGTGCATCTGGATTTCAAAAGGGAAATATTTTTAGATTAAAAATCTCAGGAATCATTGACCTGACAGGTGGGCACAAGTGAGTAATTAGTTGACGTTTAGAAAGCTGCTTCCCAATGAAAAGCGCTGTATAACCCCTGAGCTTTATTACCATGCAACACACACGGACCAGCACCCACTGGGTGTGTGCATCCTGAGCATCCTACGGATGGATGTACACGTGTCCCCGCAGCAGAGACCCGAATGCAGCCAGGGACCGTGTGGAGATGGCCTGGGCTTGGCTGCCTGCTCAGAGTAAGGCTAGGGAGTAAATAAATGGAAAGGCCAATGTGTCTAAGCAGAACTGATGCTACCTATTTATCCCTGGAAGGCTGTGCTCAGCCGAGGAGAAGACAAAATGATTATTTAAAAGCTCCTTTTTTATCTTCCCAGTGCCGTCCCCAGCTTCAACGCACCTCCTGCCAGGGTGCCCAGGGTGCTCGGCTCCTTGGCAGCTCCGACCCTCCAAAATACCCCCCATGATGGGATGCACCCTGCTCCACCGGCGGGGGGGGTTGGGGTGAGCCAGTACAGGCAGCACCCAACCCACAGCGCCTGGGCAGCCGATCGTGAAAGGCCCCTGCTCTCCCCAGGCTGCCGGCTTTCCCACCAAATTAAAATAAAATAATTAAGCATAATGATCGTCAGCGGTCCGGCAGCAAGCCGGAGCCAAGGGGCTGCAGGCAAGCTCTGGCCCGTGCCCTGGCATCCCCAGGACCCGCCATTTGCTGCTCCTGATTAAAGAAAGAGGGGGAAAAAAGGAAGAACAAAAAGAAAGATAGCGACTGACAGCCGGGGGGAGGAAAATTCATGCAAGACTTTCTGTCCTTGGCCGCTTTCCTGCTGGCTCGGCAGCCCCTGGAGCCGTGGCAAATGCCGCTAGAGGGTGCTCAGCCCTCGCTTTGGTCCCCCGCTGCCTCAAAATGCATTTTTTATATATAAATACACACACATGCAAATATATATATATGGATATATTTTAAAAGCAAAGCCAAGCCACGTGCCTTGTCACCGCTGTGAAACGTTCCCTGAGTGACCGTGGAGGGGAACCGAGGAGCATGGCTGCCCCATGTCTCGTGGCCGTGGCAGGGTCACCGACACCAGCAGTGGGAGCAGCTGGGGACTGCCGAGCCACTAGCCTGTGGTCCAGTCACAGACGTCACCAGGGTCACGGAGACCCGTTCCAGCAGCTGGGAAATGGCTCCCAGCTCACACGCTCGTTCCTCTTTCCTCCTGAGCGAGGTATCACAGCCACCGTCTGCAGAGGACATCATCCGAGTCCTGGGCTGGCTCAGTGGCGAGACTGGCCTCGGAGAATCAGACAAGGAGACAAAGCTGAAAATAGCTCCCCAGCTCCTTGCCTGCCTTGTGATTCAAGGACGCGGGATGGAAACTGCATCGAGTCGCCAAAGCTTTCAGATGCTCCAAGATGTTTCCCACCAACCTGGGCATCCCCGAGGAGTGCCTGCAGAGCAGCCAGCCCCACACTCACACGAGGTAGGCAGCCAGCACCCCACACATGTCTGTGTCCCCACACCACGGCACTTGTGCCTGGTGTCCCCATGCACAGAGGCAGCCATGCAGCCGGGGCGGGGGGCATGGGGCAGGAGAAACAGCCTTTGCCAGACATGGTGCTGGCACATGCCTTCAAAATGGACTGCACCCTGGGGATGGTCTGGGGCTGTGAAGACACCAAAGAAATCCACAAAGGTGGGTACCAGGCTCCTCCTGGTCTTCCACACCACAATCTCCTCCTTTATTTACTCCATTTTCCTGGGAGCATTTTTCCAAAGGGACCTGAGGAGCCAGCTCAGCGCAGGAGCCGAGCACACAGCCGTCTCTCTTCTCCAAGGCTACCCCAAAATGCTTTAGCTTAGCAACTCTTTGCTCTCCATCCCTTCCAAACCCTCCAGATCAGAGATGGGCAGGCAACACAGGCAGAACACCACCATGAAGGCAATCAAACACGATGGGGGTGATGGCAGCAGCTTAGCAGGAGACTGTGGCTCAGCAGTGACAGCAGAAAAGGCACGCTCAAACCTCCAAGCTCTACCTGTCTTCTAGAAAGGGCAATTTATCCTACTGCGGTCAGTGTCCTCAAGCTGAGGAGATGTGGGAAGCAGGGTCCTGTCCCGGCCAGACTCCCAGCATGGGATATATCCACTTATAAGGGGATGTAGGCTGTGGTAGTACAGCACTCCCCACTGTTTCTCATCCTCATGTCTCCCCTTGGGTGCCGCTGCATGTGTGTGCACTCATGAGGTGGAAGCTGAAGACCAAGCAGAAGACACTGGAGGAAGCTATGGCCAAGCAGAAGACACCGGAGGAAGCTAAGGCAAGGTGGAGCAGTGGAAACAGCCTCTTGAGGGATGCAATCAGGATATCTTGGAAGAAGACACAGTGAACGACACAAAGCCAACCCACGTTGTGATGACGAAAGAGGTCCCCAGAGCCAGCGTGGCCGCTCGTGAGGGCTTTGCTGCACAGGACCAGCGTTCCTCAACTTTCCACCAACTTCAGTGGTCAGTGCAGAAATTTGCTGTGACCAGCTGGTTAAGATCCCCTCCAACTACATGAGGTGGCAGTTTCTCTACAGCTCTGTTTGCTGACACTACCAGCCAAGGGCTGGTCCCAGCGGCTGGACGTTCAAACAAACCCACCCTAAAAAGAAACCTGCTGCACAGTTTTAATGAGTACAGGAGGAACGCTGCCCTCCCACCCGAGCTGGGCTGCTTCTGGATGGGTTTTCTCATTGTTGCTTCTGCCCATTCCCAACTTGCTGAATTGC